CCTGGGCTACTTCCAGCTTTTCGGTACCCCGATTCATGTCTTCTCCAAATGCTCTTTGGAGCCACTTGAAAATTCCACTATTTTTGGCAAAATTTGATGATTTTTCAAAAAATCGTCAAAATTATCCAGAGCTGGAATTGCATATAAACTATACATTTTTGGAAAGAACTAGTCCTGGGCTACTTCCAGTTTTTCGGTACCCCGATTTATGTCTTCTCCAAATGCCCTTTTAATCAACTTGAAAATTCCTCAATTTTTGGCAAAATTTGATGTTTTTTCAAAAAATCGTCAAAATTATCCTGAGCTGGAATTGCATATAAACTTTATATTTTTGGAACGAACTAGTCCTGGGCTACTTCCAGTTTTTCGGTACCCCGATTCATGTCTTCTCCAAATGCCCATTGGATCCACTTGAAAATTCCATCATTTTTCGGCAAAATTTGATGATTTTTTCAAAAAATCGTCAAAATTATCCAGAGCTGGAATTGCATACAAACTATAATGTTTTGGAAAGAACTAGTCCTGGGCTACTTCCAGTTTTTCGGTACCCCGATTTCATGTCTTCTCCAAATGCCCTTTTGAATCCACTTGAAAATTCTACTATTTTTGGCAAAATTTGATGTTTTTTCAAAAAATCGTCAAAATTATCCTGAGCTGGAATTGCATATAAACTTTATATTTTTGGAACGAACTAGTCCTGGGCTACTTCCAGTTTTTCGGTACCCCGATTCATGTCTTCTCCAAATGCCCATTGGATCCACTTGAAAATTCCATCATTTTTCGGCAAAATTTGATGATTTTTTCAAAAAATCGTCAAAATTATCCAGAGCTGGAATTGCATACAAACTATAGTTTTTGGAAAGAACTAGTCCTGGGCTACTTCCAGTTTTTCGGTACCCCGATTCATGTCTTCTCCAAATGCCCTTTTGATCCACTTGAAAATTCTACTATTTTTGGCAAAATTTGATGTTTTTTCAAAAAATCGTCAAAATTATCCTGAGCTGGAATTGCATATAAACTTTATATTTTTGGAACGAACTAGTCCTGGGCTACTTCCAGTTTTTCGGTACCCCGATTCATGTCTTCTCCAAATGCCCATTGGATCCACTTGAAAATTCCTCAATTTTTGGCAAAATTTGATGATTTTTCAAAAAATCGTCAAAATTATCCTGAGCTGGAATTGCATATAAACTATACATTTTTGGAAAGAACTAGTCCTGGGCTACTTCCAGTTTTTCGGTACCCCGATTCATGTCTTCTCCAAATGCCCTTTTGATCCACTTGAAAATTCCACTATTTTTGGCAAAATTTGATGTTTTTCAAAAAATCGTCAAAATTATCCTGAGCTGGAATTGCATATAAACTATATGTTTTTGGAAAGAACTTGTCCTGGGCTACTTCCAGTTTTTCGGTACCCCGATTCATGTCTTCTCCAAATGCCCTTTTGATCCACTTGAAAATTCCACTATTTTTGGCAAAATTTGATGTTTTTTTCAAAAATCGTCAAAATTATCCTGAGCTGGAATTGCATACAAACTATATGTTTTTGTAAAGAACTAGTCCTGGGCTACTTCCAGTTTTGCGGTACCCCGATTCATGTCTTCTCCAAATGCCCATTGGATCCACTTGAAAATTCCACTATTTTTGGCAAAATTTGATGTTTTTTTAAAAAATTTTTTCAAAATTATCCAGAGCTGAAATTGCATACAAACTATATGTTTTTGGAAAGAACTAGTCCTGGGCTACTTCCAGTTTTTCGGTACCCCGATTCATGTCTTCTCCAAATGCCCTTTGGATCCACTTGAAAATTCCACTGTTTTTGGCAAAATTTGATGTTTTTTTAAAAAAATTTTTCAAAATTATCCAGAGCTGGAATTGCATACAAACTATATGTTTTTGTAAAGAACTAGTCCTGGGCTACTTCCACTCTGCCGGTACCCCGATTCATGTCTTCTCCAAGTGTCTGTTTTTTGCATTTGAAAATTCTATATTTTACTACCATATTTGACGAGTATAAAATTATTTTAACTAATTTTTATTTTATATATTAATTTTTTGAATATATTTTAATATAATGTTACTTTATTTCTTAAAAAACATTTTATTTGGTGCTCGTTTTATTAAAAATAAATTTTAGTTCATTTGAAAACGAATTTTATAGTATGTGGAACGTATTTGACATATGTGGTGTGGGACGTATCTGGCCGACGAATTTAACTTCACACCCTTGTTTGTTTGTTGCCATTTATTTAATTATAAAGTATTTAATATTTGTTAATATTGATTTTATTTTGTTAATAATTTATTTTATTAAACAAGTTTGTTTCATTTAAAAATTATTTGTTATTTAGTTTATGTGTGTTTTTTTTTGATTGTTTTGTTAAATGTCTGGCCTAGTGGATTCTTTGGCAGCTATATTCTGGTTGCCACTACTAGTATAAACACAAATACACATTTTTATAAGTGTGAGTCGTTGTCTGTTTATTTCCAGTCTCGTATTAGTTGTTGCTGTTTGTTCATATTTTGTTTTTGGAGGTGTCGGATTTCCGGTTTTTTCTTCTTCTTTGCGCTAAACGATTGACACATGTGGGCCATAAATAAATCGGTTTTGTTTGTTTGTTGTTATTATTGTTATTACTTTTTTAGTGTGTAAGACAGACTGACATATTGATTAATATATTACAGACATATTTGCCAATTTTCGTTTTAATAAGTATTGTTTTTGTTATTGTTTACTAAATATGTTTTGTTTGTTTTTGCATCATTAATCATCTTCTAAAAATCTTACCAGACCGTTGAGTATTTATAGAGTTGTATATAGTGATTTAAGAAATTCCATCAAATTAATAATCAAAATTGTACTAAAAATTTTTAATCTCAGTATGCAATAGGGTCATTGTCAATATACTATTGCATCCGTAGCCTAACTAACGGCTTTGGAGACCGGCATTTGATGCAATGTTTTCTGAACTAGAATAATAATAGAACAGAATATGAGCAATAGTAGAACAGAGTAACACTAGAACAGAGCAATACTAAAACTGAGTAATACTAGAACAGAGCAATACTAGAACAGTGTAATACTAGAACAGAGTAATAATAGAACAGAGCCAGAACAGAACTAGAACAGAACTAGAACAGAATTAGAACATAACTAGAGCATAACTAGAACAGAACTAGAACATAACTAGAACAGAACTAGAACAGAACTAGAACAGAACTAGAACAGAACTAGAACAGAACTAGAACAGAACTAGAACAGAACTAGAACAGAACTAGAACAGAACTAGAACAGAACTAGAACAGAACTAGAACAGAACTAAAACAGAACTACAACTGAACTAGAACTGAACTAGAACTGAACTAGAACAGAATTAGAACAGAACTAGAACAGAACTAGAACAGAACTAGAACAGAATTAGAACAGAACTAGAACTGAACTAGAACAGAACTAGAACAGTACTAGAACAGAACTAGAATAGAACTAGAACAGAACTAGAACAGAACTAGAACAGAACTAGAACAGAACTAGAACTAGAACAGAACTAGAACAGAACTAGAACAGAACTAGAACAGAACTAGAACAGAACTAGAACAGAACTAGAACAGAACTAGAACAGAACTAGAACAGAACTAGAACAGAACTAGAACAGAACTAGAACAGAACTAGAACAGAACTAGAACAGAACTAGAACAGAACTAGAACAGAACTAGAACAGAACTAGAACAGAACTAGAACAGAACTAGAACAGAACTAGAACAGAACTAGAACAGAACTAGAACAGAACTAGAACAGAACTAGAACAGAACTAGAACAGAACTAGAACAGAACTAGAACAGAACTAGAACAGAACTAGAACAGAACTAGAACAGAACTAGAACAGAACTAGAACAGAACTAGAACAGAACTAGAACAGAACTAGAACAGAACTAGAACAGAACTAGAACAGAACTAGAACAGAACTAGAACAGAACTAGAACAGAACTAGAACAGAACTAGAACAGAACTAGAACAGAACTAGAACAGAACTAGAACAGAACTAGAACAGAACTAGAACAGAACTAGAACAGAACTAGAACAGAACTAGAACAGAACTAGAACAGAACTAGAACAGAACTAGAACAGAACTAGAACAGAACTAGAACAGAACTAGAACAGAACTAGAACAGAACTAGAACAGAACTAGAACAGAACTAGAACAGAACTAGAACAACTAGAACAGAACTAGAACAGAACTAGAACAGAACTAGAACAGAACTAGAACAGAACTAGAACAGAACTAGAACAGAACTAGAACAGAACTAGAACAGAACTAGAACAGAACTAGAACAGAACTAGAACAGAACTAGAACAGAACTAGAACTAGAACAGAACTAGAACAAATTGACTAATTCCTTTTTCTGGGCTTAAACTGGAACTATGTGAAAAAAGCATCCCCTGTTCATTTTAACTCAATAATTTATTACAAATACATATAAAAATCTAATTTATGGTTACAAAATGTCTATAATCCTGCCTGTAACAGCTTAAGAGTATCATTATTATTCCAATAATAAAATATGATCCTTATTTATGAGATTTCCCTTAATATAAACATATGTTTTCTCTTACTTCTCATAATATTAACAATCTGGCCACTGAAAGAAATAAGAGCGAGAGTGATAAAAATATACAGAGACAGAGAATGAATTACGTATGTATGTATATAACTCGAAAATCTCAAAAAAGAATGAAATGAGAAAGAATGTACGATTTCTTAATAGTGCATTAAATTATGAATGAAATTGTACGAACGTGTTATTTGTTTTAAAATTGTAATTAAAATTAGCGTAACTAATTGAAATTTATGTCACATGAGTGTGTGCTAGCTAGCTGGCTGCCTGGCTGGTTAGTCGGTCATTCGTTTATTTTCATTAGATGTATGAGTATATTATAGTTGTCTGGTGGTTTCCTCCCTCTTCTAAATTCATCATATCTCTATATTCCTATTTCGTTGCAGACAATTTATACATCACAACAAAAACATCATTCCTTTAAAGCAAATTAAAAAGAACAAAAGAAGAAAATAATTGTCGTATCACAGATTGTTTTGGGTCTCACTCACACAAACTATAAAACAACGTAAACGATCAAGAAAATAAATAAATAAAAATATAAACAACCATACTGCTGGCTGAATTGTGTCAATCTTCTAAAAGAATTTATGTGTAGGAGTAACGTCAACAACTAGCCAAGCATACCCCACATAAATAGTTGATGATTCCTATATAGAAACTAAAGCAACCAAAACTATATATTAAAAGCCAGACAGACAGATAGCAGGCGTGTAGACATACAGACAGACAGCTGTAAAAGAGGATCAAATCTTGGAAGATATTTAAATAAAAAGAGACACACACTCACGCTCTTTTTATTTTCTCTTACTCTTGTAATTGAAATTTATTTTCTTTTTGTTTTTAATTTGTTGGGGTAGCGACAACAGCAACAAATAGAATAATGGGTGGCAATAGTACGGCTGCTTTTAGCATTGGCGGTTACATTGGTGGCACTGGTGGCAGTAGTTTAGGTGGCAGTTCTGGTGGAGCGGTAGGTGGCGCCGTTGCATCTGATTTAATTCCAAGTACCAGTATGTTAAACTCAACCTCTTCCGGTATACCCTATTCGTGTGGTACCAGTTGGGAAGAGTTTTCCGATCGTCATGCTCGTGTTGCCGCTGCTGATTTTGCCAAAGCTTGCATCAATTACATAAATGGGAGTTTAACGCCCGAAGAGGCACGTAATCTATCACATCGTAATTTTGGTCAAAAGTTTTTGGAATCATTCGCTGAACACTTTGAAAAGGAATTCTTTCGTAGGCGTAATAATTTAAAAGTAAGTACCATATTCTGCACAGTACTAGAAAGGAGATAAAACTAAACAAGAACTAAACAATAACGGAACTATAACTGAACTATAACTGAACTATAACTGAACTATAACTGAACTACAACTGTACTATAACTGAACTAGAACTGAACTAGAACTGAACCAGAACTGAACTAGAACTGAACTAGAACTGAACTAGAACTGAACAAGAACTGAACAAGAACTGAACCAGAACTGAACCAGAACTGAACTAGAACTGAACTAGAACTGAACTAGAACTGAACTAGAACTGAACTAGAACTGAACTAGAACTGAACTAGAACTGAACTAGAACTGAACTAGAACTGAACTAGAACTGAACTAGAACTGAACTAGAACTGAACTAGAACTGAACTAGAACTGAACTAGAACTGAACTAGAACTGAACTAGAACTGAACTAGAACTGAACTAGAACTGAACTAGAACTGAACTAGAACTGAACTAGAACTGAACTAGAACTGAACTAGAACTGAACTAGAACTGAACTAGAACTGAACTAGAACTGAACTAGAACTGAACTAGAACTGAACTAGAACTGAACTAGAACTGAACTAGAACTGAACTAGAACTGAACTAGAACTGAACTAGAACTGAACTAGAACTGAACTAGAACTGAACTAGAACTGAACTAGAACTGAACTAGAACTGAACTAGAACTGAACTAGAACTGAACTAGAACTGAACTAGAACTGAACTAGAACTGAACTAGAACTGAACTAGAACTGAACTAGAACTGAACTAGAACTGAACTAGAACTGAACTAGAACTGAACTAGAACTGAACTAGAACTGAACTAGAACTGAACTAGAACTGAACTAGAACTGAACTAGAACTGAACTAGAACTGAACTAGAACTGAACTAGAACTGAACTAGAACTGAACTAGAACTGAACTAGAACTGAACTAGAACTGAACTAGAACTGAACTAGAACTGAACTAGAACTGAACTAGAACTGAACTAGAACTGAACTAGAACTGAACTAGAACTGAACTAGAACTGAACTAGAACTGAACTAGAACTGAACTAGAACTGAACTAGAACTGAACTAGAACTGAACTAGAACTGAACTAGAACTGAACTAGAACTGAACTAGAACTGAACTAGAACTGAACTAGAACTGAACTAGAACTGAACTAGAACTGAACTAGAACTGAACTAGAACTGAACTAGAACTGAACTAGAACTGAACTAGAACTGAACTAGAACTGAACTAGAACTGAACTAGAACTGAACTAGAACTGAACTAGAACTGAACTAGAACTGAACTAGAACTGAACTAGAACTGAACTAGAAAGAACTGAACTAGAACTGAACTAGAACTGAACTAGAACTGAACTAGAACTGAACTAGAACTGAACTAGAACTGAACTAGAACTGAACTAGAACTGAACTAGAACTGAACTAGAACTGAACTAGAACTGAACTAGAACTGAACTAGAACTGAACTAGAGCTGAACTAGAACTGAACTAGAACTGAACTAGAACTAAACTAGAACTGAACTAGAACTGAACTAGAACTGAACTAGAACTGAACTAGAACTGAACTAGAACTGAACTAGAACTGAACTAGAACTGAACTAGAACTGAACTAGAACTGAACTAGAACTGAACTAGAACTGAACTAGAACTGAACTAGAGCTGAACTAGAACTGAACTAGAACTGAACTAGAACTAAACTAGAACTGAAGAACTGAACTGAACTAGAACTGAACTAGAACTAGAACTGAACTAGAACTGAACTAGAACTGAACTAGAACTGAACTAGAACTGAACTAGAACTGAACTAGAACTGAACTAGAACTGAACTAGAACTGAACTAGAACTGAACTAGAACTGAACTAGAACTGAACTAGAACTGAACTAGAACTGAACTAGAACTGAACTAGAACTGAACTAGAACTGAACTAGAACTGAACTAGAACTGAACTAGAACTGAACTAGAACTGAACTAGAACTGAACTAGAACTGAACTAGAACTGAACTAGAACTGAACTAGAACTGAACTAGAACTGAACTAGAACTGAACTAGAACTGAACTAGAACTGAACTAGAACTGAACTAGAACTGAACTTGAACTGAAATACAACTGAACTAGAAGTAAAAGAAAACATATCTAGAGCTTCAAATTAATGAGAAATCACACTCAAAAATGTCTTTTATACATTTCAGGTCGGCAATGGCGCGCTTGAAGAGAGTGACTACTCTGAAGAATCCCCAAAAATCTTCCATAAAGCATTCTTTCGTCGACTATCCTTTAAGGGATTACGCAAAGGAAAGGTTTGTAAATTGAAAATCTCATAATGAAGGGCACTCTCGAAGATATCTTAATGGGAGCAGTAATTGAAAAACGTAATATCATTAGAATTTTCTATTTTTACAGACACTATTTCACAAAAGTTCCGACGAAGAGGGAAACAGTAAGAGTAATAAGAAATTTGCTAAAATTGTAGTAGAATGTCGCAAAGATGGTATAGTCAATAACTTGACACCAGAAAGTTTGGATCAACCAACGGGCACACAAAAATGGGAGAAAATGTCGTTTGGCATTGGTGAAGGCAGTGGGAGGGTATATGTTGGAATTCTATATGCCACCCAAAGCAGCTAAGGTAAAAATTAATGATAATCATAAATAAAAGAATGCAGTTTTATTGTAAAGTTTTCCTTCGCAGCCACGTTGTGGAGTTTTTTGTTTCCTAATTTCAGAGGCCCGCGAAACGACCGCCTTGGAAATGCCCGATCGGGAGAATACGTTTGTTTTAAAGGCCGACAATAATATGGAATATGTTATAGAGGCTCAAGATGCCGATGATATGCGCAGCTGGTTGGCAACTATACGCTATTGTATGCGTACACCACCCACCCAACAGCCCACTACGGATACCGAAGTAATGGCTGCCGCCATGCAAACCTCTCCTGTTATAATGAATTCAAATACCAACAGCATGTTAAATGCTGTACAAAATCCCCAGTATCATCAACAAAATGCCATGGGCTCAAATGGTAATGTGGCACCCAGTAGCTCTCTATCCGAAAATGCTCTCTCCACACTGCAAGCTGGAGCAGCCGATAGTGCTGTTCCAGATACACAATGCACGACAGCAGGACCTGATGTACCACCAAGGCGCGGTGAACAACGTTTATCTTCCTCTAGTAATATAGAACCCTGTGATGGTATTGATCCCGATTCTGATTTAAATGTCATAGACATAACGAATGAAATGCGACAGTATCCCTGGTTCCATGGCACATTACCGCGTTCAGATGCTGCTCGTATGGTTTTACAGAATGAGGCACAAGGTCATGGTTTCTTCCTAGTACGTCAGAGTGAGACCCGCAAGGGTGAATTTGTACTCACCTTTAATTTCAATGGGCGTGCCAAACATTTGCGCATGACACTATCCGATAAGGGGCAGTGTCGAGTGCAGCACTTGTGGTTCCCTTCCATACAGGAAATGTTGGAACATTTCCGCCACAATCCTATTCCTCTCGAATCGGGCGGCACATCCGATGTTACTCTCACCGAGTACATACACAATCAAGGAGTTCCTTACAATAATAATCAAATCAATGAAACGACGAATGGTTTAACGTCGGCTCTAGATAATAATGGTACATCAGCAACAGGAGGCGGCGGAACGGGAGTGGGAGCCTCCACTGCCAGTGTTAATGGTACATCACAGCAGCAACAAGATCCATCACCGAGACATGTGAGATAGCCTAAATTTTGGAGTCCATTCAGTGTCAGTGATGATTTTTATTTTTTTATTTTAAGTTTTTATAAGTTTTTTTAGTGCAGATTTTTTATTTAAATTTTTATTTCATCTCAGGGGGAATAAGTCCAAAAGCAGGAAACATTTTTTTAGAAAACATTTTCTACAGAACTTTTTTTTATAGAACAATTTCAGAAAAGGTTCTTTCATGACAGGACTAAAATAGAACTAGAACTGAACTAGAGCAGAACTACTAAAACTGAACTATTTAGACTGAACTAGAACTGAACTAGAACTGAACTAGAACTGAACTAGAACTGAACTAGAACTGAACTAGAACTGAACTAGAACTGAACTAGAACTGAACTAGAACTGACTAGAACTGAACTAGAACTGAACTAGAACTGAACTAGAACTGAACTAGAACTGAACTAGAACTGAACTAGAACTGAACTAGAACTGAACTAGAACTGAACTAGAACTGAACTAGAACTGAACTAGAACTGAACTAGAACTGAACTAGAACTGAACTAGAACTGAACTAGAACTGAACTAGAACTGAACTAGAATCTGAACAGAACTAGACTGAACTAGAACTGAACTAGAACTGAACTAGAACTGAACTAGAACTGAACTAGAACTGAACTAGAACTGAACTAGAACTGAACTAGAACCTGAACTAGAACTGAACTAGAACTGAACTAGAACTGAACTAGAATGAACTAGACCTGAACTAGAACTGAACTAGAACTGAACTAGAACTGAACTAGAACTGAACTAGAACGAACTAGAACTGAACTAGTAACTATGAACTAGAAACTGAACTAGAACTGAACTAGAACTGAACTAGAACTGAACTAGAACTGAACTAGAACTGAACTAGAAATGAACTAGAACTGAACTAGAACGAATAGAACTGAACTAGAACTGAACTAGAACTGAACTAGAACTGAACTAGAAACTGAACTAGAACTGAACTAGAAACTGAACTAGAACTGAACTAGAACTGAAACTAGAACACTGAACTACGAACTGAACTAGAACTAGAACTGAACTAGAACTGAACTAGAATGAACTAGAACTGAACTAGAACTGAACTAGGAACTGAACTAGAACTGGAACTAGAACTGAAACTAGAACTGAACTAGAACTGAAACTAGGAACTGAAACTAGAACTGAACTAGAAACTGAACTAGAACTGAACTAGAACTGAACTAGAACTGAACTAGACTGAACTAGGAACTGAACTAGAAACTGAACTAGAACTGAACTAGAATCTGAACTAGAACGGAGAGATCTAACTAGAACTGAATAGAACTGATAGAACTGAACTTAGTCTGAAACTAGAACTGAAATAGACTCAACTATAACTATGTTAAATTGTTTTACCGTTGATTTTTATACAATTTACCAATTTTATTTGTTTTACTTTTTTATATTTTTAAGTGAGTCGTTTTTTAAGTTCGTTAGTCAAGTACTTTATTAAGATTATTTATTACATTTACTTGGTTTTTGAAAAATGTCAATTAATTTTCTTAGTAGTTTTAAACTTTTCTTTGGAATGCGTAGACGAGTAGAGATATGTATTTCCTAAAATATCAATATTATATTGCTAGCTTTTTTTCAAAATTTTAAAGGGAATTCATATAACATTTTAAAGAATTGTTGCTATTGAGTTGTTAAATATATTAAATTGAATGAAACTTTCTTTCTAAGGCATGTGGTAGTTAATTTATTTCAATATTAAACAAAGAATTTTATTAAATTAAAAAAAAATGGAACTAATTAATAAATATACATAATTTTCTTAAAATTTTAGTCACAGGATGTGATATCGATGAATTGTAGTGTACGTTTAAAAACAAATGAAATGGATTTAGCATTATTATTGGCAGCCGGTGTTGCAACACGTCATAATAATCACCAGCAACAACATCAGCAGCAGACGCAGCAACAAAGCCAATCACAACAGCATCTACAAGTAACTAATACAACGACAATAACAGCTGGAACAACAACTCATACAACAAGCAACAACCAAAATCATCTTAATCACACAACCAACAACACTCTTCAGACACAAAATTTAAATTCATTCGATCATCATCAAACGTTTGAACAACGTACTACTCCCGTACCGAATGCTTTGGAAATGATTAGAGCCTCATCGCCCATAACATCCGTAAATGATTCGACACAATATCTAAGAGCTTCAAGTGTTTCGCTACAATCACAAGCTGCAGCCACAGGTGGCGGTGGCAGCGGTAGCGGTTCAACTAGTCGTCATCAGCAGCAACATATACAATTTACAGATTCATCTGGAGCCACACAAAATACTACACCCCGTGCTGTTGATAACCAATATAGTTTTGTTTAGATTTTCTAAAGCTAAGCGCACCGTTAGGCAGCAGCTGTTTTTGGAAATTTGAAGATTGTGTAAGGAATCTTTTTAATTATATTACAATGATTTTTAAAAACTTTTTTCCAGCAGTTGATTTCTTTATTTAAGAAATCTCTTAACTGGGTTTATATTTTGTATTCATAGTTTAATTTTAAACAAGAATTTTATTTTCAAAAAATTCTTAAATTTTTAAAATCTTTTTATTTGATTTTATTTTTAAATTGCTTAAAAAAAATATTGTATAAATTTTTGTTTGAGACTGTTTATTTTATAAGAAAATCCTTTTTTTGTTTTATTTTCTTTCGGAATTAAGTTAAACTTATTTCTTCCTATTGTTATTTAGAATTTAGCAAAATGAACTTGAGCTTAATGTAATAAACGAAGAAAAAACGGAACACATTTTTTTAAAAGATTGGAAATTTAATATTTAAATTAGATTGGTTTTTATTATTTGGTCATTTGGCATTTTTTTTTACAAAGAAAAGTTTAATGAACTATTCTTAATAATTAAGGAATTCTTATCAAAACAATTAATATTTGATTCTCTTTCCAAATATCTAATGAAAAATATTTTCCCAAACGCTTATAGTTCAGTTCTAGTTGTTCTAGTTCAGTTCTGGTTCAGTTCTTGTTCAGTTCTAGTTCTAGTTCAGTTCTAGTTCAGTTCTAGTTCAGTTCTAGTTCAGTTCTAGTTCAGTTCTAGTTCAGTTCTAGTTCAATTCTAGTTCAGTTCTAGTTCAGTTCTAGTTCAGTTCTAGTTTCATTCTAGTTCAGTTCTAGTTTCAGTCTAGTCAGTCTAGTTCAGTTCTAGTTCAGTTTCTAGTTCAGTTCTAGTTCAGTTCTGGTTCAGTTCTGGTTCAGTTCTAGTTCAGTTCTAGTTCAGGTTCTAGTTCAGTTCTAGTTCAGTTCTAGTTCAGTTCTAGTTTCAGTTCTAGTTCAGTTCTAGTTCAGTTCTAGTTCAGTTCTAGTTCAGTTCTAGTTCAGTTCTAGTTCAGTTCTAGTTCAGTTCTAGTTCAGTTCTAGTTCAGTTTCTAGTTCAGTTCTAGTTCAGTTCTAGTTCAGTTCTAGTTCAGTTATAGTTCAGTTCAGTTCTAGTTCAGTTCAGTTCTAGTTCAGTTCTAGTTCAGTTCTAGTTCAGTTCTAGTTCAGTCTAGTTAGTTCTAGTTCAGTTCTAGTTAGTTCTAGTTCAGTTCTAGTTCAGTTCTAGTTCAGTTTCTAGTTCTGTTCTAGTTCTTCTAGTTCAGTTCTAGTTCAGTTCTAGTTCAGTTCTAGTTCAGTTCTAGTTCAGTTCTAGTTCAGTTCTAGTTCAGTTCTAGTTCAGTTCTAGATCAGTTCTAGTTCAGTTCTAGTTCAGTTCTAGTTCAGTTCTAGTTCAGTTCTAGTTCAGTTCTAGTTCAGTTCTAGTTCAGTTCTAGTTCAGTTCTAGTTCAGTTCTAGTTCAGTTCTAGTTCAGTTCTAGTTCAGTTCTAGTTCAGTTCTAGTTCAGTTCTAGTTCAGTTCTAGTTCAGTTCTAGTTCAGTTCTAGTTCAGTTCTAGTTCAGTTCTAGTTCAGTTCTAGTTCAGTTCTAGTTCAGTTCTAGTTCAGTTCTAGTTCAGTTCTAGTTCAGTTCTAGTTCAGTTCTAGTTCAGTTCTAGTTCAGTTCTAGTTCAGTTCTAGTTCAGTTCTAGTTCAGTTCTAGTTCAGTTCTAGTTCAGTTCTAGTTCAGTTCTAGTTCAGTTCTAGTTCAGTTCTAGTTCAGTTCTAGTTCAGTTCTAGTTCAGTTCTAGTTCAGTTCTAGTTCAGTTCTAGTTCAGTTCTAGTTCAGTTCTAGTTCAGTTCTAGTTCAGTTCTAGTTCAGTTCTAGTTCAGTTCTAGCTCAGTTCTAGTTCAGTTCTAGTTCAGTTCTAGTTCAGTTCTAGTTAAGTTCTAGTTCAGTTCTAGTTCAGTTCTAGTTCAGTTCTATTTCAGTTCTAGTTCAGTTCTAGTTCAGTTCTAGTTCAGTTCTAGTTCAGTTCTAGTTCAGTTCTAGTTCAGTTCTAGTTCAGTTCTAGTTCAGTTCTAGTTCAGTTCTAGTTCAGTTCTAGTTCTAGTTCAGTTCTAGTTCTAGTTCAGTTCTAGTTCAGTTCTAGTTCAGTTCTAGTTCAGTTCTAGTTCAGTTCTAGTTCAGTTCTAGTTCAGTTCTAGTTCAGTTCTAGTTCAGTTCTAGTTCAGTTCTAGTTCAGTTCTAGTTCAGTTCTAGTTCAGTTCTAGTTCAGTTCTAGTTCAGTTCTAGTTCAGTTCTAGTTCAGTTCTAGTTCAGTTCTAGTTCAGTTCTAGTTCTAGTTCAGTTTCTAGTTCAGTTCTAGTTCAGTTCTAGTTCAGTTTTAGTTCAGTTCTAGTTCAGTTCTAGTTCAGTTCTAGTTCAGTTCTAGTTCAGTTCTAGTTCAGTTCTAGTTCAGTTCTAGTTCAGTTCTAGTTCAGTTCTAGTTCAGTTCTAGTTCAGTTCTAGTTCTATTCTAGTTTAGTATCTTGGTTCTAAAAAATGTACTTTTTATTAAATAATTTACAATTGTTTAGAAAGAAAAAGCGGGAAACTGTATTCAATATTTGTGGGATTGAGACTCATTTATAAAAAAGAAAAAATTAAAAACCTTTCGATAGACTAAAATTTGAGAGACTTTTATGTGCCATTGATTGAACTAAAATAAAAAATTAATAAAAGTAAAATATTTTATTAAAACTTTAACAAAAAACAAAAATTTTCTCACTCAAGCTCTATAAAAATAAAAATCTTATTTTTTTTTTAATTAAGATTAAAGCAAATAAATCTTCCAATATAAAACAGTAGTTATAAACTTCTCTATAAAGAAAATTAATGTTCATATGGGGTAAAATATTTGAAACAAATATTAACAGAATTTATGTTACAAATATTTTGCCAAATAAGAAAGTTAGTTTTTTTAATTTTTATTTATTTTGAACTTTTGTTTAGAGCCGTCCTTTTTATTTTATTTTTTATAAAAATCTAGAGAAGTGTTTAAATGACTGTATTTATATAAAAATATATATGAAATAAATATAACAAAATTTTGCTAAAAAAAGAAAAATATAACCTATGTTCTTCATTAATGTGTGTTCAATTGTTTTTATATGAAAATCATAAGTTTGTATATACAAAAAAAAATTATTTTATTTTGTTTCTTTTTTTGCAAAAGAAAAGACAAAAAATTATAAAAAAAAATATTTAAGAAAGTATAACTTGTTCTTAAAATCATAAGGCTTTAAAATTGAAATTATAGAAAAGAAATAATGCTAAAATAATAAAAACTTAAAAAAAATAAATTTAAATTATGAAAAACAGAATAAACCAAATCCTTATTTTCTACTATTTTTTGGAAAATATTTAGTGATTAGGAAGAAATATGATCGACTATTTTCTTTAAAATTTCAGCTAAAATAATTTATTAAAGAGTTTTAATTACCACACGGTTTTGTTAAATGAAAAGTTTTCATTAAATTTTAACTTTAAGTTAAATAATTTTTTAGTTTTAAATGTTATGATTGTGATTTTTTATATATATATATATATTTTTTTTAAAGACATCACCGTGTTTTAATTTAAATCCCTTTTTACAGGCAGTTTTTGTTTTAATTTTTTTCCTATTCAAATATTAAATATTAAAATAATTATTTTATTTTATTTTAATAATAACTGTATACTCATTATAATTATTACATTTTTTAATTTAAATTTTAACAAAAAAACCTAAAAATTAAATTTAGCTTGAAATTTTTAACAAATTAAATAAAAAAAGCTTTTTAATTTAAAAAATTAAAAAAAACTAAATAAATATTAAAAACTAAGCTTAATAAGCTTTTAAAAATAACAATAAAACCCCCTTAAGTAAAGAAAAAACAAAATCCAAAAGAAAACTAAATAAATTTTAGGAAAAAAAAAAATAATATAACCTAATTATTATATTGTATACTATTAATATTGTAAAACCTTTAGATTATTTATTCAATAACAAAATGCAAATAATATGTATTTCCAAAATATATGTATGTACTATGTTTAAATGTAATATTAATTAAAGAAATAACAACAATAATAATAATTATAAAGAAACTACATAATGTAATAAATAAAACCAACTACTATTTGCAAATTAAATATAATAAACTACTATTGTATTTTACACTAAATTATTATTAGCAACAACCAATCATCATCAATCCTTTTCAACCATAAACCTAAGTTCATAAAATATTTTATAAATAGTCTAAACAAAATTATATATTTAAATAATAATAATATTTAAAAAAAAAATAATAATATATCTAATCATTTATTTTAATATATAATATTATTATTATATAATTACTACTAATAATATAAAAACAAAACTACAGACATACATCTTACTCCTCCTATAAACTTTATACAAAATATATATTTTTCTTTAATTTAAAGAAATATTTAAGCCAATTACAAAATAATGTAATTTTTGTTTGTTTTATTTTTAAAATAATATTAAAGGAAACAAAAAAAAAACTTGCTTGCAAAATAAATAATGTTTATTGAAATAAAACAGAAAATAAAAACAACAATAATAAAGAGAAAAAATACATTTCTATCTATCTATCTATCTATCTATCTATCTATCTATCTATCTATCTATCTATCTATCTATCTATCTATCTATCTATCTATCTATCTATCTATCTATCTATCTATCTATATATCTATCTATCTATCTATCTATCTATCTATCTATCTATCTATCTATCTATCTATCTATCTATCTATCTATATATCTATCTATCTATCTATCTATCTATCTATCTATCTATCTATCTATCTATCTATCTATCTATCTATCTATCTATCTATCTATCTATCTATCTATCTATCTATCTATCTATCTATCTATCTATCTATCTATCTATCTATCTATCCATCTATCTATCTATCCATCTATCTATCTATCTATCTATCTATCTATCTATCTATCTATCTATCTATCTATCTATCTATCTATCTATCTATCTATCTATCTATCTATCTATATATATATATATATATCTATCTATCTATCTATCTATCTATCTATCTATCTATCTATCTATCTATCTATCTATTATCTATCTATCTATCTATCTATCTATCTATCTATCTATCTATCTATCTATCTATCTATCTATCTATCTATCTATCTATCTATCTATCTATCTATCTATCTATTATCTATCTTATCTATCTATCTATCTATCTATCTATCTATCTATCTATCTATCTATCTATCTATCTTATCTATCTATCTATCTATCTATCTATACTATCTATATATCTATATTCTATCTATCTATCTATCTATCTATCTATCTATCTATCTATCTATCTATCTATCTATCTATCTATCTATCTATCTATCTATCTATCTATCTATCTATCTATCTATCTATCTATCTATCTATCTATCTATCTATCTATCTATCTATCTATCTATCTATCTATCTATCTATCTATCTATCTATCTATCTACCTATCTATCTATCTATCTATCTATCTATCTATCTATCTATCTATCTATCTATCTATCTATCTATCTATCTATCTATCTATCTATCTATCTATCTA